TCTTCCTCCATTGTAACTCAACCTAAGACATATAGGATCAAGATATTGGCTTTATATATATTAATTTGGAGGTGTCTTGTAAAACTGTAGATAGTGACACAATTGTTCTTACATCAGTTCTTCAAAATCAATCAGACCCCAGATATTGAAGAGTAGAGTCACCAAAACAACTACCATCCCTGGATGAGACAAATGCCAGTCATAATTCTCAGAGTCATCTATACTTCCTACTGACAAGTTATAAATGTAGAGGTTCCAACATTGGGTTTCATAATTTACTGGAATAATTCAAGGTGTAGAAGGGTCTTAATCACAGCTTCTATGCCCACTCCATTTGGAGTCAGGGTGTATCTCCCTTTCTTATATAACAGTATGTTTATGAACCAGGGACCTCTACTTAGCCTCGAAAATAAGATTTTTTAATTTACTTTTAGTGTGCGTATGTGGGGATTATGGTAAGCATGTATACATATATCATTTGGAAGTATGTTTGGTAAGAGGCCAACATGGAGAATCTTCCTCTATTGTTCTCCACCTTATTTCTGGAGAAATGATATCTCATTAAACCTGCTACTCACCAGTTGGCTAAACTGATTGGCCAAAAAGCTTTAGGGTTCCTTCTGTCTTGGGCTCCTGCTTTCAGGCTCTCAGCCCTGGGTTTAAAAGTGTGTGCCATTATCCGATTTTTACATGGATATTAGGAATATCAACTCAAATTCTCATACTTTTATAGCAAGTACAATAGGCAAACTCCCTAACACTCTGAAGTTAAGTATTTGGGGAAGGATTCATTATATGAGCATGATTGAGTATCATTGTGATTGAACTCAATACTTAGCCCCACTTTCCTCCTTGGACCTTCAGCTAGCCCCAAATTCTAAACTAATAATAGGACCTTTTCCTTCTGGTAACTGTTCACATCCTACAGCACAACAAAGATATCTTGTTACTCTTGTATGTCAGGAAATTGCAAGGCTTTTTAAGCTCTGTGTCAAGAACCAGGGATGGAGATCAGACAGTCTTTACTATGCCACATGATGCTTCCAATCTTCTCTAAAAGGAACACACTGACATAGACAAGAGAAAACAGGTCTTGAGATGAAAACCACAACACTAATATCACAAGAATTCTGATGAACAGAAGGTAGAGAATAACACCAAATGCTTGAGGAGATGGGATTAATCATTCTTATTTCACCAATACATATTATATACATATACTGAGTTACCCCAGTGTACCCTATAAATATAGACAACTGTATCTATCAAAAAATAAGAGAGGAGGCAGGGATCTTCATTCTCAACTCCTGCACAGAACTCAAAAAGTCTTAGATTTTCATCAGTAGCAGATACAATATGAGAATGTTTTAATATTTGGCCTTCACTCCTTGCTCCATAATACATGAGATCCTAAGAGTAAAAGCATCTTGGAATCTCTAGAGTGACTAAGCTTCCTAAGTAGCATTGAGATAGGGCTGGTCACCAATAAGAAATAAATAAATAAAACCAGACCAAAACAGACATTAAAAAAATTAGACATGATGCTTAGAGAGCTGGAACTTTGAGCCACACCCCCTAACTTTCAGGGACAGCAATGGGAATTGGAGATTGAGTTAATCACCAGTGGTCAGTTATTTAATTAATCAAGTATATATAACTGAACTTCTTTAATTATTTTAATTAATAAGAACTGGAAAGTTTCCTGGTTGGTAAATGCATTCATGTACTTGAATGGTAGGGCACTGCAACTCCTTGGGGACAGCACCTCCTGTATCTTGTAGCCTTTTAGACACTGCCCCAAATACCACCTCATCTACCTTGTCACTGACAGACTTTAGAATTTTTTATTATAAACTAGTAACATTAAAGGGTTTCCATGGATTCTTCTGAATATTTGTAACAAATTCCTGAACAAGAAAATAGTTGTAAAAACCTGTGATTAGTAGCCAAGGCAGAGAGAAGTGTGAGTAACCCGAAGATTCACCATGTGTGATTGTCATCTGACACTGGAGGCAGTCTTGTGACACTGAGCCCTTAAACTGTGGAGCCTTTACTAGCTTTGGCTAGCGATGTATTGAATTAAATTGCAGGCCATGTACATGGTGTTTTCAGAGAACTGGGAAAACTGTTTTTTTTAAAGCACATACACATATATTGTCATGTGAACTGAGGAACTGTTTTCATTTACTTGGTATTCAGAGGATATGGGGGACTACTCAGAAAAGACAGGAATGTACCAACTGACTGCTATCTAGGATGGAAACAAAGGAGCAAAATACAAGGAAGATAGAAAATAGTGTGAAGAATAAAAACTATGCAGGTTTATGAAGTAATTTCCTTAGGACCCAAAAGACATGTATCTCAGATGCAGGACAGCAGAAAAAGGGGAGTCTCACAAGAGCCAGCAACATATATTTCTAAATAGGAAGGAGCTGCTGCCTAGGACTTAGGACTTAACATTTTAGAGGTTAAGATTAGAGAATCCCAATGAGAAATTCTATGCACAAAGCAAAAAGAACCTAGTGCTCTTACTTTCACTCTATGTCTCCTGTCTTCATCCCTAGATTTTGCTGGATGACATGAATTTCTCTAGTCTATCCCTGGCCAGCTGGAACTCTGGAGGAAAAGGCAGGTATCATGTTCATTCTTTTCTTCTCAATTTTTAGCTGCCCTGGGACATCTCCAGTGGCTGGATGTTACCATTAAGGAAATCAGACAGAAAGTAGAGAATAAGAGACCACATCACGAGAAACAAAGTGGCCTCTGTTACTACAGTTTCCCCTCTCTGGGTTCCTATAAAGCCAATTCTACCTATAAGACCACCACCCTCCCCCAACACAGAGTGGGAAGAGGGAGGGAGGGAAGGATGGAGGGAAGAAATACAAATACAGCATGGGGTAGGAGTCTAGAGATGAAATTCAGAAGTTAGGAAGGAGTGAGGGGGGTCTGAGGCATTTCAAACACTATCATCTAGTCTGAACCACTACCACCCAAAGGATGCCATTTCTCATCTCCTACACACTTCATTAGCAATTGCTGTTTTTCCAAAGGAATCCATCCTACAGGATGACTAGTACTCGCTTGTTGAGCTCCTGACCTGGCAAACATACCTTTGATTGACTGAGGGATGATTTCTTCCATCCAATCAACACTACCATTCTGGATACATAAAAATGGTTTTCAAGCTAACACAACATGGACACCAGCTCAACCACCTTAACCTCCTGCCCCTTGTTCTACCTACCCCTATTGTCAATATATGGCTCTCCTTTCCTTCTCTATGACAGGAAGCACAATGCTGTGTGTCCAAGCAAAGGCCTCGTCATACAACTCCCCATCGGACAAGCAAGACTACAGAGCATCTGTAGTAGCTCTGAAGCACTGGAACAGAATACTCTGCCTCTGGAATTGAGCTCCTGTCCAGAGGAACGTGAACCTTCTTACCCTGAAGACACAATTTAAGGCTAGCTGGATTAGTAATCAAAGCTTCCAGCCTGAAGCCTAGGGGCTTGCCCTCTGAGAGTGCTTGGCCTAAAAAAAATGAAAATTCCCTGAGGTGTAGGGGAAATTTTTGCCACGCCCTCTTGGGGGCTGGCACAGGTGATGCAGACCACGCACACTGGGGCATGGTCAGAGTGACTTTAAATATGAGGGTTACACGAATGCAACACTCTCTGTTCCTTGGTTTGCCTGGTTGTAGGGACTGACTCCATCGCGTGAGTACCCTCGTATTAAACATCTGTTCATCAAACTTGCTCTGACTCCTTTGCGGTATTCGTTAATTGTGCCCCAATATACTGAGGAGTCAGGTCATACAATGATTCTTTTTTTTTTTTTTTTTCGAGACAGAGTTTCTCCATGGCTTTGGAGGCTGTCCTGGAACTAGCTCTTGTAGACCAGGTTGGTCTCGAACTCACAGAGATCCACCTGCCTCTGCCTCCCGAGTGCTGGGATTAAAGGTGTGTGCCACCAACGCCCAGCTTCATGCAATGATTCTTAATGGTAATTTGAATAATGTTCAAACATATGAAAACACAGAAATCTCAACATATATCAATATAACAAACATTTAATTTCTAGTTTCTACCATGGTAATTATTCCTGTTATGGTTTGTGGTTTGTAAAGGGAGACTAAATTGTCACTTTGTCCTAATCCTAAATTTCATAAACATTAAGTGGGAAAATGTTTCACTGCCAGGTACATTCTACAATGTTTGGGCAAAATCAATACAGGTTACTAGATACTATTTTAGTATACACATGGGATTCCATATTCTATTGATTGAGCTACTTTTCATCCTTGCTTATACTAACTTGTAGATACTATGCTTACTACCTATAGTCAACTCCTGGAATCCAGTTGCAGAGAGGGAGGAGTGATGAGCAAAGGGGTCAAGACCAGGCTGGAGAAACCCACAGAAACAAGAGGGACCTGAACAAGGGGGAGCTCATGGACCCCAGACTGACAGCTGGGAAACTAACAGAGGACTAACCCAGACCCCCCTGAATGAGGTGGTCAATTTGGAGGTCTGGATAATCTATGGGGCCTCTGGATCAGTATTTATCCCTAGAACACAAATAAACTTTCGAGCCCTCTCCACATAGAGGGATACTCTCAGCCCAGACACACCAGGGAGGGTCTAGGCCCTGCTCCAAATGATATGACAGACTTTGAAGATCCCCGATGGAAGGCCTCATCCTCCCTGGGGGAGCAGAAAGGGGATAAGATAGGAGGTTGGTGGGGGGCAGGGGAGGAGGAGAGGGAGAGGGAACTGGGATTGATATGTAAAACAAGTTTGTTTCTAATTTAAAGAAAAAAAGGAAAAAAGAAAGATTTGTTCACTAGTATAGATAACATTAAATGTTCCAAGGTATAGCATGTAAGATGGTAATCAGCTTTTATATAATTCTGTGATATTATCCTACCATTTGATTCCCTGTGCATATGAAGTCTGATATATATTATTTTTATATTTATCTTGTGTATATGGCATACATACATTTCCCTTTTGACTGTTTCTTGATCGTAGCAGTTGTTCATTGGTTGGTAAAATTCTTGCACCGTGCTCCCATTTTATCTGTTTGAAAATACATAGCATTCTCAGACAAAAGAAAATAAATGTTTTCTCCTGTCTAAAAATAATGAAACATTTTCTACTTCCCACAAGTTGTACTCTATCTCACAAGTCATTCCTGACTTGTGAAATACTCTTGTATGAAGGCTTGTTGTAGTCTGTGGTATTTTTGTTGTGCCAAAATACACAGAACACAAAACTTACCATTTTAATCAATTTAAAGTGTACAATTCAGTGACATAAGTAAATTCCCAAGCTTGTTGCAACCATCATCACTGTCTAGTTTCAGAACTTTGTTGCCACCTAAAAAGGAAATGTTATTGACTGTTTGAGTGTAATAATTACATGAGAAATTTCATTTTTGTACCATCAACAGCCTAATACCAACTTAGTAATCTTGGTTCTGAAGTCTCATTCATTTATAACTTTTCTAAATCACTTTATCTCTGAACTTTTAAACAATTTAGGTTAATCATTTATACAAGCATACCCTTTTCCCAGCATTCCCACCTATTACTACAGTCAACAGAAGGGAACATATCAACTTTTGTGTGTTTTGCTAAATTTTGTATTTCTTCAATGCATGTATCTAAAAATTTAGCTTTGTATATTTTACTCCAAATAAGGGCTATATGAACTCAGACATTTTATTTATACACAAATTTTAAAGTAATGTCTATTTTTTAAAATGTGACACCAAATTCTTCTCTAGTTTGTTATATGTAAAATTAGTTTCATGTCAATAAATCAATCCATATATAGTTATTTCATGATTAATACTTTTCTCTGACTATCATCATACAGGAAATATTACTTCTGAGACTATCTAATAAGACACACTGGCTCTCAACCTTCCTAATGCTGTGACTCTTTAATACAGTTCCTCATGTTATAGTGACCCCCAACCATAAACTTAATTTATGTTGCTACTTCATAACTGTATTTTGCTACTGTTATGACTGCAAATGTTTTTGGCTAAAGAGATTTGTCAAAGGGGTCACAACCCACAAACTGAATTAGTCTTTTCATTCGCCATCAAGGTTGTACTGAAGCAAAATCTGTACTTTGAATCATTAACTGCACTTTAGATTTGGCAGTTCCTCAAAACTTACCTTATCCTAATTTTCCAACTGTATTACTCTGTAAGCTCCTCCTACTTATTTCACCCAAGTCAGTGGAACTTACTTTCCTACCACACACTTTTCTTCACATCACCATGGTTCATTTCCAAGCATGCTTACTGCTCAGTGACTAAGTCCCACTTCTTTCAGGTATTTGTTGAGTACCAAAGCCCACAGGAATCTCCCTTCCCAAAATAGGATTTTCTAGTAAGCATGTGCTTGTTCTAATACTAATCATTTATTTTTGAATGTATCTAATGTATCTGCATCTGGTTTCTAAAGTGAAGAAGGGTCATTTATGCCAATTTCAACATCGAACTTTATTGAAAACACAGACTCAAGTAAAGAACCACATGTTTAAACAACAAATAGCAGGATAGCTTACTCATATGACTTGGTTCACTGGGAGCTCAACACTAAGAAGTATCACAAGCTGGGCAGTAGGACAAATATCAACAAATGTGTTTTCAGTTCTGATATTCATTTTGGCATCCACAAATGATCCAGCTCACAACAAGAGTTTCACAAGTTAACATTAGCATTAAAATATAAGTTACAACACAAAACCAGACTGTGAACACCAAAGCACTATTTGGGGCTCTTTGGGAACATAAGGCTGATCACTGGAAGGTGGTTAATCACATGGACTTTACTGTCCCTCATCGGGATCATTTTGATTGTCTATTTGGATTTGCAGCCGTTTAGCTAGTTCTTCAAACTCATGGAATGCAGAAACGAGTGGCTCAAGACAGAAATCTTCATCCACTAAAGACATTGCTCCACTTTTCACAATATTACTGATATTCTGAAACATCTTAATAACAATCTGAATGTTATCATTTGTCTCCTCTATGTTAAAGAGACCCACAAATATTGACAGAGCTTTGGCACTGAATAGCTTTTTTGCCACCAGAGGATTGTTAGACAAGTTCAACAGCATTTTCAGAACATGAAACTTTGTTCTTGCATTGCCTGTGGTTAACAAAGTAAGAAAGCCAGACACATAATTGGCAATCAGTGTGTGATAATCAGTGGTTATAGTGAGGTGTCTAAGCATCCTTATTCCAGTTAGCTGCTCAAGCGAATTGACACTATGTGCAAGGGTTTCCTCACACACTTGGCATATAAATGTCTCAATCATGTTTAGATTTGGATAAGGTGGAGCCATGTGGATCATATTTTCCAAAAAATTAGTCCTAACTCGAGAGGACGGATAATTCATCAGGGTTTCAATAAGTGAGACAACACCAGAATCGCGAATGAAATCTCGGGTAAACTGAGAAGCAGTTCTCATACCCATTGCAATTTTAGATATTTCATGGATAAAAGGATCGCGAATTTTGTCCATTAGCAGAAGGAGCTCTTCAAACTCTGCAGAGCCAATTTTAAGCTCACACTGTATGCAAGTGCAAGACCAGTTCTCAGGGTCTGCACTTTCCCTGGCCTTAAGATGCTCTCGAATTTCCTGGACTGAGCGGTAAGAGGGATCATACTGAAATGGGAACTCGGGTTCCCGCAGATTACGCTGAAGCACAGGTTCCTGCTCTTCCCCCTCTGCACCAAGTTCCACATTCTTGGCTTTTGCCTCAGCATTTTCAGAATCCCCTTCAGGGATTCTAAAGGGGTTTGTGGAAGAAAAGCCAAAGTCATGGCAAGGACCAGGTTTGAATTCAACAGTAACCTCATCCCAGGTTTTGGGCCTGGATGATACATTAAGCTCTTCCTCAGCAGAATCTCTGAACCTGCTCTTAGCCTTGTACACAGGGGTGGGATTTAGGTCAAAGCAGGCCTCATCTCTATCCCAGAACCAGGACCCAAATAGGGCCTCTTCCTCAGACTCAGGCCTGACCTCATCTCTAGCCACTGCCCCCAAAGTGGGCTTTTCTTCATTCCAGAATAAGGATCCACCAATGGCTCCCTCTTCAGCCCCTAGTTCAGATTCACAGATTGCTGCAGCTCCAGCCTCCAAACTATTCTCATGTTCTGCCCAGAACCAGGACCCAATAATGACTTCCTCATCAAACCTAGATTCTTGTTTGACCCTGTCACCGTTTTTAACATCTTTCTGGTTTCTGTTTTTCAAGATGTTATTAGACTCTTCCTTGTTTCTGTGCCTGAATCTATTAGCCTCTTCTCCAGGCAGAAACCAGGACTCTTTATAGAACTCATCCTCAGATTCAGAATCAAAATAGTCATCTCTCTTTGTCCTGATCTTAGGTCTCACATTTGCCTCTTCCCTGCCTCTGGGCCTAAACAACTCATTGGTATTTTCTCCAGCCCAAAAGCAGAATGGGTTGCCTGCCTCATCCTCAGAGCCAGACCAAGAATCAATATAGGGATCTTGTTTGGATCTGGGCCTGGACCTGGCATTAGTCTGATGTTTTGCCCTGTGCCTGGACCTAGTATTCGCCTCTTCCCTGGGCCATGATCTGATACTGGGTTCCTCTCCAGTCCAGAAAGAAGACATATTAGAGGATTCATCTGCTGACCAAAACCCAGACTCATTAGAGGTTTCCTCCCTGGCTCTGGGCCTGGGATAGCACCAAGAACCCGTATTAGTCTCCTCTCCTGGTCCAAACCAGGGCGGGATACCAGCCTGACCCTGGGACCCAGGAAAGGTTTCATTGTCCATATTGACCAGTTCTCTATTCATACACAGACTCTTAGATTTAGTAATGTATGTAGACTCAGAATTGACCAGTGGCCATGTCACAGCATTAGATAAGGGGGCTCTCTCAGCCTGTGGCATTGCCTCAGCCCCAAACTCATTCTGGGCCCATGCCTGGGCATCATCCTTAGGCCTTGCTCCTGGGATTGGCTTGGCCTCAGTCTTAGAAACAGCATCACCTACTGCTCTGCCATCAGTTTTGGGCCTGGCACCAGTCATTATCTGGGCCTCAGATCTAGGCCTTGCTCCAGTCATTGCCTGTGCATCATTTTTAGGTCTTGTTCCAGACATTGACTGGGTTTCAGTTTTCAGCCTTGCCCGAGAAGACTTAGTTTCAGTTTTGGGCCTCGCTCCACTTGTTGCTGGAGCCTGGGGTCTGACTTTGGGTCTGACCACCAGAGGGACTTCACCCTCTCCATTAGCCCCACCCATAACCTCTTCCTGAGGCTTCTTATCAGACTTGGAATGAGAACCAGTCTCAATTTCTGCCCCAGTCATGGTACAAATTAGAGAGAAGGCTAAATTAAGAATGGCTACCAAAGCCTCAGTGTCAACAAGAGATCTGTCACAGTATTGTATCTTCACACTCTGCTATTTAGATGATCCAAGAGACAGAGTGAGTACCAGGAATAAACCACCAATCTGGAACCAATAAGATTCCTACCCAAGCACAATCTCAGTCAATAACACAGATACAGTGCAGAAGAGGCGAGGCCAGGCCAGAGGACGATGGACAGGTCCTAGGTGGGTGCAGATCTGTTGAGTGCACTGGTCAGCAGCAACCCCAGCACCACCAAGCAGCTACTGCAGGTGATCTAGAAAGAGAAAAAAAAGGAGGAAATCAGTCTCATACAATTCTGTTGCCTCCTGTAGCAACTACACAGAGACACTGGTGCATAACGCTGAGTGGAACAGCTCAGCTAAGAGAAAACCTCTATGTTCTTTTGCCCAAGGGAAAACAGGTGCAGGGTTGAGGAAATAGTATACACCCTAGAAATGAAGATAGAGAGGAGCCCCCGAATCTCACAGCAGTCACTCTTGGTGATCCCTACTACTCCCACCTAAAAGTGAAGCCCTCCCATACCAACCTTCGCCGAGGTGGTGCAATTCCCTCCTTTTGATGCGTTCAAGCGATGTTAAGACCAACAGCTGACAGTGGGGGGGAAGTCCTGCAAAAGGAAAGGGACTTTAGTGCCTGCCACATAGGCACACATCCCTGGGCCCAAACAAACAACAAAACCATGCCCACTTTCTGTCTAAAGTTGCTGTCCCCAGTCCCAGCTCTTTTCCTGTGGATCACAGACTAACTCATATCTACCTCTCTGAAAGGGAAGAAACGATGCTGTGGCAGTGAGCATATTTAGGGGACAATAAAGACATCAGGCACCCACTTGAGTTACAGCACTCTGCATTTGCCTCCTCAGTACCTGGCTCCTGTACTGCCCAATTGTCGACAACCTCCAGAGATTTTGGGACAGTCTCCTCGATGCCTTCTTTCTTTCTCTCAGAACTGACCAGCCTTAAAGCAGGCCTGTGGACAAAGAGATGACAATGTAAGACGATTGGGAAATGATGGCAGCAGCTGTGGGCAAATAGAGGGGACAGTAAAGACAGCATTCACCACCCTCTTGGGTTACAGCACTCTGCATTTGCTTCCTCAGTACCTGGCTCCTGCGCTGCCCCGAGTCTCACCAACCTCCAGAGATCTTGAGACAGTCTCCTCGATGCCTTCTTTCCTTTCTGTCAGAACTGACCAGCCTTAAAGCAGGCCTGTGGACAAAGAGATGACAATGTAAGACGATTGGGAAATGATGGCAGCAGCTGTGGGCAAATAGAGGGGACAGTAAAGACAGCATTCACCACCCTCTTGGGTTACAGCACTCTGCATTTGCTTCCTCAGTACCTGGCTCCTGCGCTGCCCACGAGGCTCACCAACCTCCAGAGATCTTGAGACAGTCTCCTCGATGCCTTCTTTCCTTTCTCTCAGAACTGAGCAGCCTTAAAGCCGGCCTGTGGACAAAGAGATGACAATGCAAGACAATAGGGAAATGATGGCAGCAGCTGATCTTGTTGAGAAGAACACCACCAAGGATAAGAACCAGATCGTGTGTCTTTCAGCATTTAGGGTCCTACTGTTGGAACATTCTAGATTGATTTTGCCTGGCTGCAGGGTTCCTGAAGTAACACCCCCTCCCTGATGTCATACTGTTTAGTCCTTCTGCAATTCTGATGATTCACCACTAGGTGGCCATATTTCCTTGCCTTGCGCAGCAAAAAATGGGGGAAGGGCGCAGCACATTCTAGAAAGCAGGTTCTGAAGTGGTCCTTGGATTTATGACTCCGTCATCATCCCCAAACCATCTTTTCAGACCCCCAAATTGGGAAGGAGGGAAAGGACATTGGGGAAAGTACCTGCAAGGCTGTGAAAAATGAGATTAGGAGACACTAATGGATGCCCACCTGTTCTGATCTGTCACCCCCACCTTTTGCATCTCCACTCACTGTCTGGTGCCCACTCCCACTGCCACACACCTCCAGAAATCCACGCCATTTTCCTGTTCATCTTTCCTCAAGACTGTGGTCTACTGATGTTCACTGTAGCCTGTCAGAATACGCCAGACCTACCAGGCAGACAGGAGACTTTGCCATTAAGCAGGAGCCTTTCGGAAGGGACAGCACCCAGGATGCAGGGTACAAGGGCCCCTCCCTGTAAACACATCAGAGCCCCCATAGCCTGGGCGAGTCACCACCCACCAGCTGAGCTGGCCCCAGAGCTGGGCACCCTCCCC